GACCTCATCCGCAACGAGGAGAACGAATGGACGATATCCAAAGCCTTCGGCGGCAAGCTGTTCGAACTGAACGACGTCGAGACCACGGTCATCACCCGAAACACGCCTTACACTTTCGTATTCACCGACGACAACAAATGGGTCTTTGTGCCCTCTCAAATTGACTGGATCATCAACATCACGCTCGGCTCTCCCCTCATTTTTACGGAAAACAAACACCACTACCTAACGAAAGTCGTGAACGAGGGAATGATGCTCGTGGCTTACGTCCCGACGCAAAGATGCAGCGTGATCCCCAGCCCGCTCTCGTAAAATAAATTAGCACATGCGCTATCGGGCAAACCCGGGATGCAAAACATAAGTCTGCAGATGGTGTCGGAATTCGACAAATTTGTCGACATCATGGAAAATCTGCCGGTGAATTCCACGCTGATCATCAAAGTCTTCCTGGGTGAACCACCGTCGACATCGCGCGAAGGCGAAATCGTGAAAAACATCAAACTACGGTGGTCCAAGAAACAACAACACCACGTTTGCTCCGTTTACGTGAACGCGTACACCAGCCTGCAGGGAGTCACCGTCGCCGTGGAAGACACGATATCGCTCGCCAAGATTTTCCTACCCGACAACATACATTTCATGGGCTTGAAGTGCACGTCCGAGAAATTATCCGAAAACCAATTGAAAACCATTTCGTAATACATTATAGATAAACGAGATGAACCATCGACCCACTGTCACGCTAGCCGATCTCGGGGACACGGAGGGATTCGATCTGCCCGGCGAGAAAAACACCTTGTAGGCCATGCGCTTTCAAGACAACTTGTACAAACGACAAGAAGTCGTCTTCGAATCTCAGTTAAACTGGATTATTAACCTGGTCCTGACCTACCCCTATCTTATCATGGATAATAATGATGGTGGCGTCTCGCTAAAAAATAACGGGATACTGCTGGGGAGGTTTGATCCTGGAAGAACGTGGACGAGCGTAGCGCCATTTCCAGATCAAACGGCTAACATGTTAGTCCCCAATGAGAAAAAAGCAGCGTTATATTTACTAAAATATACTGAAGTGCCATACTCGTGGATCAGTGTGATACAAGGTTCTACTCTTATTATCAAAGTATTTCTTGGAGATGCCCCCGGAGTAGATATAGACCTTCTGCATGGGTTGAAAATACGCTGGTATGATCGCCATCAACAAAAACGTTGTCATATTTGTATACAACCAGGAAGAACCCCCCCGCAAACCTAGATATTGTGATATCTCAAAAGGATTTTATTGAACTCGAGACCATTTATATATACTACTCAAAGTTTGATAAGGATCATATTTTTCAGCACTTGTAAAACTGTCAACAAAGGTGAATGACAACCAACACAGAGTGATTTATGTTCAGAAATGTTTACTTCAAGAAATTGTGACAGAAAAATTTGGCAAACATGACATTTCATCGCGTACTCCTAAGGTAAAGGGAGAGTACCATAAAAAGCATGGTCATTTCATGATCACGAAATTGTTTAAACTCTGCACATTCCATTTCACACTGCACAAACAAGTGTCAATAGCGGGTATGGCCTCCGTTAGCTCCAATGACAGCTTGGCAACGTCGTCTCATGCTTCCAACGAGGTTTTGAATGGACGCAAGAGAGAGATTGTTCCATTCTTGGATCAGAACATTTTCAAGTTCCTGGAGGGTGGTTGGTTGTACAGGACGACGTGGAAATCGCTACCTGAAGCATATTCCAGACATGCTCGATAGGGTTGAGGTCTGGAGAACGAGCTGGCCAGTCCATACTAACAATTGTCTCACGTTCCAGGTACTCGTCCACCACCCTAGCACGATGTGGACGTGCATTATCGTCCATGAGGATGAAGTCAGGACCAACAGCACCAGCATATGGTCTCACGCATACACATCCAGGACTTCATCCCTGTAAGCGCACTCGGTCATCGTGCCTCATTTTAGGACATGGAGATCAGTTCGCCCAGCTCGACTGATTCCTCCCAAATCATCAATCCACCCACCACCATATATCTGTCGTGTTCAGCAACATTAGCGCCCTGATATCGTTCTCCTGCCCTTCTCCACACTCGCGTGCCACGACGATCTGTGAAGTCAACACAAAACCTCGACTCGCCTGTGAAAAGTACAGGGCCCAATCAACAACCCTCCAATTCACATGAGCCCTGGCCCAATTCAAACGATCTTGTCTGTGTCGCTGAGTAAGAGGGATGCGAATACAGGCTCTCGGGAACGAAGACCAGCTTCATGAAGACGACGCACGCACAGTTTGCGTGGAAATGTTAACTCCAGTTGCATTCAGAAGATCATTTCTAAAGCGCAGTCGCCGTTGCAAACCGATGACGTCGTGCTGAAATCAAGAGAAAACGGTCACCTTGCTGCGTGGTGGACCTTTCTCTGCAGCCTCCATGTCGATGAGAAGCTGAACCATGAGATTGATACGGTTCCAAGCTCTGCAAACAACGCTCTGACTGACACCCAATAGCTCTGCAACGTGACGTTGTCTTGCACCATTTTCGAGCATTCCTATGCATCTGGCCAATTCTTCAACAGTCAAGCGACGTCTTTGACGTTGTGGAGGCATTTTCATAGAGTAACAGTGACTTAAACGATGTCAGATGTAAAGACAATGCCCAAATTCAAATCAACGACAAGCACTCAGAAATGTGAAAAATGTGGGTACCATGCTTCACGTGCTACTCATGATCATTGCAGCATGCATTTCCCTACCTAACCTGTGTTTTGAGGCTCAAGAGGGGTCAGTCCAACATTGTGATGAAATTTGCGTGTCATATCAATTCATATATTGATTTTATAATGTAAGAACTATATGATCCTTATCAAACTTTGAGTAGTATATATACGAAAACTTGTGCCTCATCAGCTTAAAGTATATTCGTCAAACATTGACTAAGGACCAATTAAATACTATTTTATAAAAAGAGTATATATACAGAATGGGACTGTACCCGGTCGTGGATGAAATGGTAAAAACACTGGAAACCGTAGACCGGTTTCGTTTGCAACAGTTATGCGAAATCAAACGACAACTAGAACAAGATCGCGACGTGCGGAGAGCATTGCAGAAAAAATATCACAGAGCCGTCAATTACGTGGACGGTGTCGACACCGCCCTGATGGCAACCGGCATGGGATTAGGTGTGGCGGGTGGCGGGTTGTTGACCACCATCGTGGCCGGGCCCGTGGTGCTGGGCATCGAAATAGCGGCCGGAATGACAAGGTTGGCAGGATTGGCGCTTAAGTACGTGTCTCGCATACTGCAACGTTAAGCGTTGAAACACGGCGAAATTAGAGTTCTAGATAGAAGATCATATTTCCACCTCGCTCACCGACAGTAAAATCTCGTAGGAGGAGTTTCGTTTAGTTCTCTCGGAACTCGCCAAATACCACAGAATGAAGCAAGAGATTCGTACCAAGTCTCGCAAAATCACCAAATTCAGCAAAGACGAGAAAAAAGAGTTCGTGGAACAAGGGAGGCAACAGGCCCGACAAGCCTTCCTTACGAAAACCAAACAAATTATTATTGGAGAAGATTCACGATAAATTGCTTCGTGGACATCAACATCACAGCCGAGAAGACAGCCGAGGCTTAGTGAGCACCCTCGAAACACAGTTCACTCAATTTTAACAATGTAATCAGTGAGATGATGTACATAAGTATCAAACAGCTTCATTTGCAATGGGGGGTTCGATTCACCACATGGGTACATTGTGTGAAGCCCATGTCTGGTATTGCTGGAATATTTGCTATAAGCGGCTCACTCACCTAACAGTCGTGTAGGTTGTAACAATAGGTATAGATAGAAAGGTTAAAATAGAAAGATAGAAAGGTTAAAAAAAAGTAGCAAAACATCCCCGGTAGCCACAATTCCCCTAGGGTGAAGTAGAAAGATAAAGGTTGAACTTCTCCCTAGGGGACTTATGTGTCGGCTACCTTTCTCTCACCACGAGAGTGCCCCAATTCAGCTGAGCGCAGCTGATGTGATCCTGATTCCTTGCTACCACCAACGAAACACACGAAAGTTGCAAGGAACCCACTGAGTCAACGGTGGGATACGAACTAACAATGCATAGCTGCACAACTACACATCCTAAGTCCGCACCTCAACCGATTGCTCTACCAGGGACTTGATAGCTACATTTCGGTTTAATAGGTCTATCCTGAGATTGCATCATCCTCCTAAGCTGGGCTCCGTCTATAGGAACGCAAAGGATGTCTTGAACCCGTTTCATAAGCTGAGCGCACCAGACTTCTAGAAACAGTTTATCACAAATTCTACTTCCACTTCACAGTTTGATGGCTTTTTACCTTCAATAAAATACAAACACGATACTCCCAGGGAGTTTTAAACACGCTGAACACGACAAACAGGTAAATGGACGCTGAAAACATTTTTAGAAACCATAATCTATTATTGAATTGCATGTCTAAGCTGAGCTCCGTCTATAATAACACAAATCAGTCAGTTCACTTCCACCTTCTCACTTCGAAAATGTTAGAAGGCTTTTCACCTCAAATAAAGGTCTAATAAAATACAAAATCATTTCTTGTTGGTAGTCTAAACACTGCTGAACACGATAAATGTATCGATGGACGCTGAAAATCTTTTTAGAAGCCACAATCCATGATTTTAGAGTCGACATTCATCAGCTTAGAAGGTGCATAAGCTATTTATAGTTTTAACACTGACGCTAGCAGAGACAGTCTGCTGGTGTAGAGGATACTGAGTTCGAAACCCTCCCGTTGTCATAGAAAACATTTTTTTTTTTTAAAACAAACATTTCGCCCTACCAACCCCATGCTCACTAAAAAGTTATTATTTACTAAACTATTCCACCGATTTTCGTGAAATTTTGCATGCACCTCAGTAGTAGTATACACAATGGGTGGATCTGCATCGTGGACTTCAGGGGACCTGAAGCAGTTCCACCATTGTGTATACTACTTCTTACCTTTAAGTGGACACAGTCTGGGCAGTGTGTCGGCATACATCTTCCCCTCCATAGTCAGACACGAGATATCTGCTATCTGTTGGCGACATGCTGTTGTCGTAGCTCGACTTAAAGCAGACAGGGCTTCCTTTGCAAGAATTTCACACTTTGGCTTATAAGTTGATGGAAGTGTAAGGTTTGGGAACAGCTGGCCTTTGTCTGGCGGTCCTTTCCCTCCATTCTCACTGACCATCTTGTCCTGGTCTGGGTGTGGCCGGTGCTCCTGAAGAACAAAAGTAACACATCTTAATGGTGTCAAGAAGCCTCCAGAACTAGGCAACATACCTGAATATTGTTTTTAAAGTTGCCCCTGAAAAACAAAAGTTACAAATCTTTATGTTGTCAAGATGTTCCTCGAGAATTAGGCAACATATCTATTATTATAGGATATTTATATAGCACATATATCCTTGCAACTAGTGCATGCTCAAGGCGCTAGGGTTTTTTCCTCGATCAGTGGATGTCAATCTCAACGGCACATTGTATTATCAATCTCAACTCCCTAGGAAGTATACAACTCTTGCAGCCACAAGGCGCAACAAGTTATTGTGGCTTTCTCATCCTAACGAGGTACCCATTCACAGCTGGGTGGACTGGGACACATAGTCACAGAACTTTGTCCAAGATCACTGCACGTTGCTGTGCCCGCAACTTAGTGTTTGCACATATTCATGTGGCCACCATCTGGTCATATACCAACGTACTTGTGGGTTCTTTTAAGTGCACAGGGTTGTGACAACAGTGAAAGAGTCTGCACACAAAGTTGACTCTAAGGTGTTTAGACCCGGTCACAGGTGGGCTCGATCTACATGTTGTTTACAAGAGTAACCAATAAATATAAATATAAAGTCCAGCTGATATTCAAAGCGTGAGACAGATCAAGTAAGGGCACATGAACAGAGATTACAAACACCATGATAACCTTGGAAGATGATGAGTGTGTGAGTTTAGTTTTAAGCCGCATTCAGAAATATTCCAGCTATATTATATGGTGGCAGTTTCTAAAGAATTTCACACTTTGGCTTATAAGTTAATGGAAATGTTGATGGAAGTGTAGGCAACATATCTATATGTCGTTTTCAAGGTTGCTCCTGAAGAACACGTCTGTATGTTGTTGTCAAGGTGATACTATAGAATACAGGCAACATGTCTCTGTTTGGTTGTCAAGGTGATACTACAGAATGTAGGCAATACGTCTGTATGTTGTTGTCAAGGTGATACTACAGAATATCAACAACACATCTGTATGCTGTTGTCAAGGTGATATTACAGAATACAGGCAACATGTCTGTATGCTGTTGTCAAGGTGATGCTATAGAATACAGGCAACACGTCTAAGTCGTTGTCAAGGTTAAACTATAGAATACAGGCAACACGTTAGTATGTTGTTGTCAAGGTGATACTACAGAATACAGGCACCAATTCTGTATGTTGTTGTCAAGGTGATACTACAGAATATCGGCAACACGTCTGTATGCTGTTCTCAAGGTGATACTATAGAATATCGGCAACACGTCTGTATGTTGCTGTCAAGGTGATACTGCAGAATATAGGCAACAAGTCTGTAGGCTGTTTTCAAGGTGATACTACGGAATACAGGGAACACGTCTGTATGTGGTTGTCAAGGTGATACTACGGAATACAGGCAACACGTCTGTATGCTGTTCTCAAGGTGATACTACAGAATATAGGCAACACGTCTGTAGGCTGTTTTCAAGGTGATACTACAGAATATAGGCAACACGTCTGTAGGCTGTTTTCAAGGTGATACTACGGAATACAGGCAACACGTCTGCAGGCTGTTTTCAAGGTGATACTAAAGAATATAGGCAACACGTCTGTAGGCTGTTTTCAAGGTGATACTACAGAATACAGGCAACACGTCTGCAGGCTGTTTTCAAGGTGATACTACAGAATATAGGCAACACGTCTGTAGGCTGTTTTCAAGGTGATACTACAGAATACAGGCAACACGTCTGTAGGCTGTTTTCAAGGTGATACTAAAGAATATAGGCAACACGTCTGTAGGCTGTTTTCAAGATGATACTACAGAATACAGGCAACACGTCTGTAGGCTGTTTTCAAGGTGATACTACAGAATATAGGCAACACGTCTGCAGGCTGTTTTCAAGGTGATATTACAGAATATAGGCAACACGTCTGTAGGCTGTTTTCAAGGTGATACTACGGAATACAGGCAACGCGTCTGCAGGCTATTTTCAAGGTGATACTACAGAATATAGGCAACACGTCTGTAGGCTGTTTTCAAGGTGATACTACGGAATACAGGCAACACGTCTGCAGGCTGTTTTCAAGGTGATACTACGGAATATAGGCAACACGTCTGTAGGCTGTTTTCAAGGTGATACTACGGAATATAGGCAACACGTCTGCAGGCTGTTTTCAAGGTGATATTACAGAATATAGGCAACACGTCTGCAGGCTGTTTTCAAGGTGATACTAAAGAATATAGGCAACACGTCTGTAGGCTGTTTTCAAGGTGATACTAAAGAATATAGGCAACACGTCTGTAGGCTGTTTTCAAGGTGATACTAAAGAATACAGGCAACACGTCTGTAGGCTGTTTTCAAGGTGATACTAAAGAATACAGGCAACACGTCTGTATGTTGTTGTCAAGGTGATACTAAAGAATACAGGCAACACGTCTGTATGTTGTTGTCAAGGTGATACTACGGAATACAGGCAACACGTCTGTAGGCTGTTTTCAAGGTGATACTAAAGAATACAGGCAACACATCTGTATGTTGTTGTCAAGGTGATACTGCAGAATATAGGCAACACATCTGTATGTTGTTGTCAAGCTGATACTAGAGGATATAGGCAACATGTCTGTATGTTGTTGTCAAGGTGAATAAGGGCTGGATATTGCCCTGATTTTCATATTGCGATATATTCTAATAATTGAAGAGATATTGCAATACATACTGTGATATATTGACTGGAAGCTTTCTGCCCATGTATGTACATCATAAATCATAAAAGCTCTCTGTGTGCGACATCAACTTCTTAGTTGCTGTGACACCATACCTTCAGGCTCCCTGTCCCCATTGTGTATAGCTGTATGCCAATGGTTTACAGATAAATAGAATTATATAGAGCCTTAATGTGGAATGTCTAATTGAAGTATTGCAACAAAGGTTTGAGAACATAATGATAAAGGTAATAGTATAACATAGTTTCATGGTCAGTGTTCTTTGCTTCAACAGAATGCACTTCAATGCAGAATGTAAATATTGTTACTGTATGTCTGTGATTCATTCAGATTCAACTCCAATATAAACATGACTTGTGTTTACATGAACCGTTGCAAAATAAAACAAAAACATGATTTAGGTGAACTACTTGAGCTTAAAATCTCATACGACCTCCAATAACTAAGATTCTTGACAAGAAAGTCATTATAATTTTTATACAGTCCTACAAAATGTATAAGACTTATATGATAAATTGATGACATATGTCCCACTGAAAAACAAACAAAAATAACCAAAATAGTCACAAGCGGCAGAAGCTCTACTCATAAGTCTAAGGAAAAAATTGGTCCATTTGAGGCCACTTAATTCCTCCAAAATGTCACAAATGAAATGATTCAAACCCATAAAACGTAAAGCATTTGGTAGAATATTTGGCACTTTTGGAGCCACTTATAAAAAATACTTCCACTTGTAAAATGTTACATGAAACCAACAGAAATAAAAGTATATCTGACACTTTTAGATCAAATTTTGGAGCTGTGGAAATGAAGGGCAGATAACTCTGGATGACCCAATATAATTTATCGCGATATTCGTATCGCAAGATACATTACCAGTATATACCGGTAATATTGCACAGCCCTATTACAGAACAAATGTAGGTAAATCCATTCTAGTACATATGCAGTTCATAACAGTACGCCTACACATGTGCTAATTCTGGTGTGTTTATTGCTCCTCTACGATGACAACACAGTCCGTGACTGTATTGATGTCTCCAGCTTCCTTGGGATTTCAAACACTGAGGAAAACAGCGACACATATTGTTATTTGGCTTTTATTTCTCTAACTAACAATCAACACAATTGATTTGCTTTCCAATAAATGAGAGCCAGCCAACTTGGTCTGCAAACAGGCTGATCACCTGCACCTCATGAGAGCCAACCAACTTGGTCTGCAAACAGGCTGATCACCTGCACCTCATGAGAGCCAACCAACTTGGTCTGCAAACAGGCTGATCACCTGCACCTCATGAGAGCCCTTTACACTGACTAGGTCTTTCCCTAATCTGTGGTGAGTTCTATACAAAATTATAATCCAATATCCAGTTGTGCATGAATTTCCACCCTCCCAGTTGTAATCATGTCATCAGACACTAAAACACTCTACAGTCATGGCTGTCTGTCAGGGATTTGTCTTTATGTCCATTTGGGAACTATATTTCTGTTGGGAAGCAGTGTCTGTCTGTCCATAAGGGAACTATATTTCTGTCAGGGAGTTGTCTGATTGTCCATTAGGGAACTATATTTCTGTCAGGGAGTTGTCTGACTGTCCATTAGAGAACTATATTTCTGTCAGGGAGCAGTCTGTCGATAAGGATTTCTGTCAGGGAGCTGTCTGTCTAACCGTCCAAAAGGGAACTATATTTCTATCAGGGAGCAATGTCTATCTGTCCGTAAGGGAACTATTTTTCTGTCAGGGAGTTGTCTGACTGTCCATTAGGGAACTATATTTCTGTCAGGAAGCAGTCTGTCCATAAGGGAACTATATTTCTGTCAGGGAGCTGTCTGTCTGTCCATAAGGGAACTATATTTCTGTCAGGGAGCTGTCTGTCTAACCGTCCGAAAGGGAACCGTCCGAAAGGGAACTATATTTCTATCAGGGAGCAATGTCTATCTGTCCATAAGGGAACTATATTTCTGTCAGGGAGCTGTCTGTCTGTCCATTAGGGAACTATATTTCTGTCAGGGAGCTGTCTGTCTAACTGTCCATTAGGGAACTATATTTCTATCAGGGAGCTGTCTGTCCATAAGGGAACTACATTTCTGTCAGGGAGCTTTCTGTCTAACTGTCCATAAGGGAACTATATTTTTATAAGGGAGCTGTGTCTGCCTTTCCATAAGAGAACTATATTTCTGTCAGGGAGCTGTCTGTCCATTAGGGAACTATATTTCAGCCAGGGAGCTGTCTGTAGAACTGTCCATAAGGGAACCATATTCTTCCATAA